TTGTGTAAAAAGAATTTCTGGTTCAGATAAAGTCTCTGTTGTAGTTTTAAAGAACAATTCTTCGAAATGTCTCTAGGTCTTGCAAGGGTCTTGTGTCTGGAAGTGACGTCCAATGCAACCAGACATATCTCCTACACCAACTTCAATAGAATAAAATAAAACGAGTAACTCGACTCCTCCTTCCACCACTTTAAGTTAACACGAGCGATTAAATCTATTGCCCGGAGTTCCAAGCGCGTATTATCCTCAATTTTCCCTCTTGGAGAAAGTTTACCAACCCCTGCACCTACAACGAGAGAAACTGAATGGAAATGTAAACGCGTTCCTTTGGACGCTAACTGGAGGACCGTGAAATAAACTTCGTTGATTCGGTTAACTTTCTTGGCGATCAAAGAAAAAGGAAAAACGTCCCCGCGTAAGAAGACCGTGACATCGGGTAATTCTCAGCTTATCCTCGATCCGAAAGCTCGGTTGTTGAAATCCTGTGACCGTGGCGTTATTCCCGAGGTAAGAAATACGGGAAGTCCGATGCTTGGGACGCAAGAAAAAAGACAAGCCTGCATCGAGAAAGTTTCTACGAGTTCGTGTCGAGTGGGGAGAGGGCGAAAACGATACTCTTCGCGCGAAGCAGAACAGAGGGGTGGGAAATAAGGCGAAACTGAAAAGACGATCTGAAACAACGCCGCGGCGAGTCCTCTTTCTTCGATTTCGATCGAGACCACCTACCCCTGGCTGTCTCCCCTCGCGCCCTTCCGGATTCTTTAATCGTTCCGTGCTGATTCGTATCCTGAAGTTGTTCGTCCGTGCAGATGCTCCGTTCTATTGCCTCGGTATCTCCTGCCCGCCTCGTCGTTTATTCCACCACCATCCGTCCGCCGCCCCTTTGTTCACCCCCGACCGAGTCTTCGCCCAAGCTTTTACCGAAGCTAATCAACCTTTCCTCGACCGACGAGCCAACCGATACCATCGACGACCCTTCTTACGTACCGTCTTCTTTGCGCACTTCAAGCTAATTAGGCCTTAAACTAGCGTATCGTCAACTTGGAGACCCCCTTTCGATGAAAGGATATTTTTAAATCCCTCGGAAATTCGACTTTTTAATATATCTTGAAATACATCATTTGTTAACGATGCTTCCTCATCCGTCTATTATAAATATGAAATTATGTAGACATTGCTTTCCAACCGAGGCTAAAGAACCTTTCCTCGACGAACGAGCTTACGAGCCTTCTTGTTTGCCCTCTTGAAGCTAACAACAGCTTACAAGATACGTCGAGCACGAGACACGAGTAAAAGGCAGATAAAAGTGCCGCGGGCTATATAAAACTTTGTCGACAACGATGTCATCGCACGATAGCGAAGTCTCGGTAAGTGTATTTGGTCCGCTTCGCGCCGAGAGATGGAACGCAATTAGAGAAACAATAATGGAACATCGGGATAGAAACGAATTCTCTGTTCTGAGGAAGGCGACGTTCTCTTAATTTTATCACTTATACAGGGTGTCCGAAAAGTCGGGGAGAAGCCGGAAATGGGGGGTAGCTGAGACGATTCTGAACAACAATTTCCTTTGCAAAAATGTCGGATGGGGCTTCGTTAAGGAGATATTAACGGAAAACACTGACCAATCAGAGCGCGAGGATGCCGTTGGAGCGGCCGCGGTAGCGAAGGCTACGCGCTAGGCGGCCGCGCTTGTACGCGAACAAGTGACTCGACGTGCATCGAAGGACATTGACGCGGCCGCCTAGCGCGTAGCCTTCGCTACCGCG